GTTGAATTCAAATGCATTTAACAAATATACAGTGCAGCATTTTGAGCGTACTTGAGACTTATTGGTACTCTCTCCAGCAGACAGGGCTGTGATGTGTGTCTTCCCAGTATCTGAGCAACTTGTCACAGCATTCTTTGCTTTGCAAGCTTCTGCCTGAAATATGATGAGCTTAGGCTAAAATCCTGCAGAGCCTCTCATCTTTAAAAAAAAAAAAAAAAGAAAAAAAAGTGACAGCTAAACCCTAGAATCCAGCCACACACAGAAAGAGAGACTTCAAGAGGAAGAAAAAAAAGAAGTTGTGGTTCCGGGCTCAGAAGATTGCTACTAGAGCTCGTACATGCAGCGGAGTCTAAAGAGGAACCTAATAAGCCTGTCAAAGTGAGATATTTGTGATCAGTTTTGTTGTGACCCATTTTAATCCAACAGCACAGCTCGGCTTTACAATTCCTCTGAGCAAAGAGGGAGGAGAGAGAGTGGGAGATAAGAGAACGAGAGAGGGACAGAGACAGACAGACAGACGCACACAAACACACATGATGCGGGTGCCATGATGAAAAAAAAAAGCCTCCATCATTGACACAAATATTGATGTGTTTTTTTTTTTTTTTTTTGGTTCTCTGATGACAGGTCCAAACTTTTCCATCAGAGAAATACGCTGGTTGCCAATCATGGGCTTAAGAACTTGAACAAACGTGGCTGTGGGTGGACTAGCTGTCCCCCTTGATAGGACTGCCTTTCAGAGGAGAGGACTAAGGATAGAAAGTGGAAGTGGGGTGGGCGAGAAGGGAATCTGGACATCATTCAGCATACTGTCCTGTGCTAATACTATGCTGATTACCGTGGAAGGTAGTAGGTACAGGACAGAGATCCCCCCCCCCACTCTTATTTCATAAGGAGCAACCATTTGATCAAAATCTAAGCTTCAGTTTAGCTTGAACAGAGTTAAAGTGTGAGACATAGAGAGAGACAATACAGAAGTGCAGACTGACAATGACAAATAACACCTTTACACACTCATCCCACTTATCTGTGTCAGGGGAGGACATTATAAATTGAAGTGCTGCTCAGTGTTATTTATATTTTGCCCAGTAAGAGTCCTGAGCCTCAGTGACAGCGAGCTGACTGCCAGCCTCAGATACCCTGCACTTCACCTCCCAACGCTCCCTGGCTATGTGTCGAGCCAACATCACGCTGAGGCAGTAATCCACCCTAATGCCACAAGAAAAACAGTTAACGCACCGACATGCTCCGTGTCCCACAGGCGGAGAGAGTCTGGAAGATGGTGACTGGTGGGGGGGGGGGGGGTCACAGATTCAGAGGAGGGGGTCTGGTGGCGTTCGATGAAGAAAGGGTTCACTTTAAAGTAGCAGATGGTAGAATCAAATACGGGCAGGACAGGTGAACAGGTGGAGAGTGGGAGAGTTGTTTTAAGAGGACCCTTCTCACTACTAACTATAAAATATGTGTAATTAGTAATATGAACATAAAAAGGGGACCGGATGCAAAGGCCTGTGTGTCCTATTAGCTTCCCTTTAAGTAAGAATCAGCAGCTGTACAGGTTTATTCTTAAACCTGCAATCAAACTTACGGGCAGAAATTGGAATTCTTTTAAACCTTTTTTGTTAATTGGAGGAACTTGTAACCAAACGGTAGTCAGTGATATCATTCGTTTGTGTCCTCTTAGTGAGTGTAAGTAAACTACACTCTCACTTTTAACCCTGTTTCGTCTCAACCTGCGCAAATAGTAAGTATCTAACTTTTTGGCAGCTAAATGCTATTTTGTGTCCACTTGCTAATCACTTACTGTGTTTTGCTGCTGTTTTAAGCTGAGCAGATAGTTGTGCAGATGGTTACTCGAGCTTTAACCCTGCAAACAGCTTCCAGCTGTGGGGTAGAGCTATTGTAAAATGCTGCATAGGCTAAATTAAGGATAATGTCCCTGAAGCAAACACTTTGGTTATTTTACAGTTGCATTTGTCTGTTCGTGCATAGCCTTTAGGATGTTGCAAACAGGATTTAATTATTATTATTTAGAAGAGGACAAATTACATAAATAATGAAAAATAGCAATACACACGGCGCCTCAAAGCGAGGAGTGTCCTGGTTTGAATCCCACAGCCTCTCTGTGTGGAGTTTGCATGATCTCCCCGTGCATGCGTGGGTTCTCTCCAGGAAACCCTGGCTTCCTCCCACAGTACAAAAGCATGCTTATTGGTGGACATGAAATTGCAAACAAGTGAATGTGAGTATGTCTATCTGTCTCTATATGTCAGCCCTGTGATTGACTGGCCAACAGTCCAGGGTGTACCCCCCCTCTCTCGCCCAACGACAGCTTGTATCGGCTCAATCCCCCCCGTAAACCCAGAACGGAAAAAGCGGTATATATAATGGATGGAACACACAGGGGCTTTAAGTGAGATCAAAGAGTCACAAATAGGGTCAACCTGGCGTGAGATCCTGTCAATCCCTAACAACAAAACGACTCTATTTTTTTTTGGATTCTTCTGCTCAGAGGGAAAGCAAGGTCAACAATCAAGTGATAGAGGGAGGGTGTATGTTTGCGTCAGTGACGAGATCATCCCCTGATGACTGCAGTTCCCCACACATTTTGTAAAACCGCACACAGTGTATCCAGATTACACTTAATCCTAAATGCCACAGCCTGACTCCTGACAGCAGCTAAGAGGAGCTGACATATAAGCCTTGTTTCAGCTTCACTGCACTGCCGCTGCAATTTAAGGCTGATTTTAAAATTTTATTGGGTCCCCTCGGGACACAGCCTAAATTAGCAGTATCGGTGAGGTTTTAACCCTTTGTGTGCCACGGCTGTGCATGAGATCTTGGTGAGGACTATTTAGTTCCACGGAGTAGACTGATCTTGCTTAGCAGAGACGATCATATTCCTTGTTTGCTCTTGCCCATTAACAATGCCTCATCTTTATGGAGCTATGATGCGTGGTATTTCTCTCTATCTTTCTTTCTTTTAATGTGTATTGTTAAGAGAAGAAACATGAAAGATTTGGCATTAAAGAATAAAACCTTAAGGAGAAAAGGTGGGAATAAAAAAAGAAGAAGACAGCTGGAAATAACCAGGGAAGTATATCAACGAATGCATTGAGTTCAAAAGAGAACACCACTTATAAAAAGAGAGATGAAATGACTTAATGTAGGTATATAATTAAAGTGGAGGGTGAGGTGAACAAAGGTTACTTGCGTACATCTTTAAGACGGACTCATTTTGTGGTTTGGATGTTAAAAAAAAGCTCGGAAGAGTATTTTATCCTGTGAAGCCTGATGCTGATTCAGCAGGAGTGTTAAACTAATTCTGCTTCCCGTTTGAAAAGTGTGATTTCAATGATGAGTTTTCTAATTTTAGAAACAAGCCTGCAGGCTGTAGATTAAAGTGAATGAGGTGAGTGTGAGTAAATGTCTTGGTTGTTTTACAGAGAAGGACAGCCCTGGTCTTGATGGAAGAGGGCAACAGTATTTCAAGTTTGTGAAACAACGGATGCTAGTTTTTCCTGTATTTTTGTGTCCATCTTGGACAGCATGAAGCATGTATAATAGACTTCTCTGATGCAAGGGGAAAAAAAGTCAAAGGACATTGAATGCCTTGTCATGAAAACATTGAACAAATTGTCATATCTAAAGTTTTACACAAAGTGCATGCCATGTTGTACAGTTTGCCTAGAGTGCCATGGAGGGAGTGCAGGATACTGCAGCTGCTGTGAAACCTTCTACTGAGACACCTGGAGGGAAATAAAAACTAAGATGTCTCTTTATGCACTTTTATTCTGCCTTTAAGTGCACGCCACATGTTCTTGCAAACAGGCAAATGTCTAGTTTAAAAATGTGATGTAGTGCAGTATCTTTGCTCATTGACTCAAACCTCAGATGGTTGGTTTAACGGACCTGCCCAGTAAGGTCTCAGCCCTCACTGGGTCCTATTATGGCTGTGGGCTTTTAACACTCTTATTAGATTTGCAAATTAAATCAGAGCTTGAGGAAGTCATGTGTTGTAACTCGTTATTCAATATGCCCATGAGACTGTAAATGAAAGCGTATTCAGGGTGGAAACAAGACCAGTTCTTGATGAATTGCTCACTGGTGTGAACAGTCCTGCCTCCAAATAAATCTGACTAAGACATAAGAAATGTTCTTGTTGAAGTGAAGGCCTTTTTGTCCTGCAGCATATTAGACCAAGCGATCCCACAGCAGTAGTGAGCTATTTGGGTAAAGACTGGTTGCAGCATCATACATTTTTTCCAGATGCATCCATCAGGGCAGAAGTTTAGACTCTCTTGATGTAGCAAAAAATAGATACAGATCATCTTTTGTGCCAGCTGATATTGACCCACCATCTGATTGTGACATTCTGTGTCAGTGTGTGATGCCATTTTTTTGGATGATTTTTAAAGTTGCAAACAAGTCAAGCTTATGTTGAGTGCTGGTGTTGGTTTGAATATGTATAATAGAGTGTTCAGCTAGATTAAAGGGAAAACACTTACTAACGACAAGTTCTTAGTTATATCTCAAAAACAAATGTTACGCCCTGCAAAAACACTTCAAGCATTCCATAAAATTACAAATTATTCAGATTATCAATTCAAGGCAGATAAATTTGAGCTATGATGCAGTATCTGATCTCAAACTCTGTTAACAAAGAGGCAAACACAGGGGGTAAGGGAATTAATGCCATACTAGAACTACTGTCAACAGATAAAATGTCTAGTGTACCTGGAGACTACTCAGGTTTTTGAAAAGACAATGTGTTCTCGATGATGCTATCATCATTTTCTGACACTAGTGGTTCACAATGATACACTTCTAAAAGTTAAACTTATGTACTTACAGGCTAAACACAGTCAGTGAAGTTTTCATAGAACATGAGCTGATTTTTTTCGGTGGCAGGTGTTGAATTAAAGAAGAAATAAAAATATGCTTTTCTTTCTAATCTTTATGGAAAAGCAGGCAGAAGTGTGGCAAGATCCTTCACTTACTGTTAGTTTTGAGGCGAGCCGGCTCGCTGTTGCGGCTCCCTGCCTGGTTGATCGCCTTGACAAAAAAGATGTAACGGGTGCCACTCTGCAGGCCGTGCACCGTGTAGTGGTTCTGCTTGATGTTCGGAACGATCATCCAGCTGTCAGCCGAGTTGTACAAACCTGGAGGAACACACGATAAGACACACAACGCATGAGTTACCAGGCTCTGTTGATGTTTTTAGAATATGTAGAGCTAGTCTGACTCCTGCTGAGAGAAGAGCAAAAGTAAAAAAAAAACCCTGACCTGAGGAGTTATTTTTTCTTCAAATCTCGGGTGAGTCATGGCAGAGTTAAAACCTCAGCGATCATCCTCGATGCTATGCAACATTTATGTGTACACACTGATCCAGCCTATTACCTTTCCATCAACTTCATCATGGCGTGCTCCCCTGCGGCTATACTGTGTGTTCACTAAGCTAAATCTATAAACCATTAGGAACAAGGTGCTCACAAAATAAGACACGTGAACGTCTGTAATAAACGCCTGAGGGCAAAAGAGGGTGATAGCCTTTCATGTTGAAATGTACAGCAACATGGGCAATACCAACATGACCTCAGTAGGTGTGTGTCTACTAGCAGAATGTTAGTGATGGCTGGGTAGGCTCGACAGGCTGCCCCATGCTTCCAAACTCAGTCTCCTCAGTCCTTCAGCTGAAGCGGAGGGTGAAGGATGTGGAGGACATCTCAGCTCAGAAAGAGGAGGGGATTGAATACAATGAGCTGCTCTTTTAGCCTCTAGTGTTATGTTATAAAGGGAATCATTTGACAGTTTTTCACCTCCACTGACTCACCACAAGTGCTGCTAAAGCGGAGGAGTTTGGATTAAAGATGGCAGAGTTGTTATTGAAGCTTTAGTGGAGATACATATATTAAAACTGATACAAAAGGCTCACAGTGAGCTAAGTGTGCTACAGTACTGTATACATGTACTGAACTTATGCTTCTAGTTGAAGTGTGAAATAAACAGACAGTGTGAAATGTCTCACTTCCTGCACTGTGGCTGCGTTTTTTCACACATTTTATTGGTGTTGTCATAGAGGACAGGTGAATATGGCTGATTAAAATTCCTCTGTAGCAGCGTTTGGAGCATCTCCAGCCACAGTAAATATGCTAGTTTGCGTAACAACACAATGAATATTCATGATTTTTTTGTACCCTGTGAGATAAACCTTGAACTTCATAAACACGTTGATTAATCCCACTGTGATGTGCCAACACAACACCAGACAGATATTGTTTTGTGAGGCAGAGCCACTGACCGCCATGCTTAAAATGTTGGGTTTTTTTCCCACCTAAAAAATTCCCATCACACTCATATAAAACCCTTGCCAAAAACAAACAAAGCATTCCTGTTCAGCAGCACTACAGTTGAGGTTAATGTTTGTAGTGCTGAAGTTGGAACAACAATCCTTTTTATTGTTTTGTTTTTTTTCTCCCCCCCGTACAGATAGAAGGGGAAAGAGGAGCTCTCAGGGCCATGCCTGCCTTGTCCCTTCTGGTGAGGATGCGTGGTGAATTATTAAACAAGATGGCAACGGCATGCATAAGTAATGTCTGGGAGTCTGCTTGTAAATATAAATACTTCACAGGGCGCAAATACGGCCTTTAAAAGTGAGGCGGCTTTAAGAATGAATGAGGGGAGAGGACTGTTAAAGTTAGAGTGAAGGCTACACATATCAGCTGAGATCCACAGGCTTTTGAAGACAAAAAAACATGGAGAGTTGATTTACCTTTACGCTAAGAGAGGATGTACTAGGTGAAGGAAGTTCATATGCAAGACCTTACATTACAAGCATCAACCTTCCACTATGAAATTCTATCACTGATTTCCTCACAAAAAGCAAGCACACTGCTAAACTGCGACGGGTCTCCCTTGTTGTCTCCTTAACTACACCTCCCACCTGTCGTCTGAGCCCTTTATAGAGTAAATAGGGAGGCTACAATGTTGTTTGGGCTTTCAACAAGAGGAACAGGGGAAAGACGAGGGAGAAGGACTTCACACTGCTATCCATTTTTAAAGCTTTTGATCTTCATAGCTCCTCTTCCTTTTAGCGAAATCAAATTAGGTCAGTACACAGAAATATTCTATCGCTACTTCTGCCGCTGAAAAGAGAGTTTTCTGACACTAGCAAAGCTGCTTTGGAGAGCATTGTGATGCAAGTGTGAAGGGGGGGGGGACTGAATGTGAAAAGAAAGAAAAGGGAAACAGGAAATATATCAGCTTGTGTCTAACCAGGTATTACGTGTGTTTGTGTGTGTCCGTGTGTGAAAGACACACACAAAAAAAAAAAACAGAAACTCAAAGTATCCTGGAAAAAGAAGAAGGGTTTTCTTTGATGATGCAATACAATACTGAAGTCTCATCATTTCAACTAACTAATCCTGCGCTTTTTCTGAGAGATGCCCCATCGTGCAAACAAGAGAGCGATTTTTTTTTTTTAGGTTTAATTTTGGGCCTTCTATGTCCCCATTCGAGAGACAGGACAGAGTCAGAAATAGGGGAGAGAGAAGGTGGGGAATGCCGTGCGGGAAAGGAGCCACAGATGGCTTAAACCCGGGCTGCCCTTCTGGAGGACACGTCTCTGCACATGGGGAGCGTGCACCAACCATCAAGCCACAAGCGCCCTGCAAGAGAGAGACTGGGCTGTCCTAACTTTGACTTGGATCCTGCTTTCACCTCTTATAATCAAATGAACACTTCACACACCACGGACAGATGAAGCTGTCAGCTGGAGTCAGCAGGTGCATTTATTTCTGCATGTACATACATGTATGTCAACAGAAATTGTGAAAATGTTGTTTTAAAGTCATGTGGAGGTGGGAGCTGGTGGTTTGGACTTCTATGAGTTCAGACAGCGACAGTAAAGCTGCTTCAGCTGCAGGAAAACAAACGAGTATGGAGGCTATAGTGAGGCTGTTTGGCTTCTACGCTTTGTTAGTTTTATAGGGTAGCTGTTATAAATATGATAGCCATGGGCCATGAGGAAAGGATTAAAAAAAGAACAAGTAATGGCTGTACAGCCAAAAATGGATGAGTATTGACTTTTGACTGGAGGCCATGATGGAGAAGCAATAGCATTTTACAATAGTCTGTCATGCAAAGAAGCTGCTGCATTTGTGGAAACAAGGAAGATGCGTAGAATTCACCTTCATGTTTTTTAAACCCACACTTTGAAGTTTAAAGTAGATCAAAGCAAAACTTAGACATTTTAGGAACACTGTTTTTATTTTTTATTTTTTTATTTTAGAAAAACAGTCAGTCGAGAAGATTAATATTGTACCACTCTCAGGTGATTATGATAAATAAGAAAATGGTTAGCTTAGTGAAGAGACGGGAAACAACTGGCCTCATTAGCTCCTTAAGCCAGACCTATTAAATGTATATACAGTATGTATGTATATTATTATTATTATGTATATATGTAAATGTATATATACATATACATTTACATATATATTATGTTGGCTGTTTGATTAAATGTATAGGACGTAATAGTTTTTTTAAACTATACAATTTATGAGAATAATGCTGACATCAGATTAACCGTCTTCTATCAAAGAACAACCCGAACTGAGTCATATATTCCTGCTCTTTCTGGGAGGAGTCAACAGTGTAAAAAAAGATGTATCAACCTTAGAGTCAGAGAGTTTAATGTAGAATAAAGAGGCGACACTACTTCATGTGATACCTGCAGACTGTGAATATTAATGGATGGAGCCTGAGTGATGTAACCCATCTGGGGTCTTTGGAGTCCCATTGATGGCGGTTGCCATGATCGTAATGCTGTCTCAACATAATGACAGGCTAAGAGCTGGAGCTGAGACGAGTTTTAAGCCTGTTGACACACCATTACACCACAGCCAATCAGGTCAGCTACCTACCTTATTTATTGTGAATAACGTTTATCCTTCATAAAATCAACACCCCCCCCATACAGTGTATGCCGATTTTGACATGAGCCAATCAGACCAATTTAGTTTTTTGAAGCAGGCTGTAAACATGTTAATTTCTGCTGTAAAAACTGGCTTTTTGAACGGGTATGTATGTGACTTCTGGTGCTTCTGCAGCCAGCCTCAAGCAGACACTTGACAGAATGCAGGATTTTAAACGTTGGCTTCATTTTTCAGCAACAGAGGTTGCCGCTAGGATCCATGTGATCAGACTGTGCAAAGAAAAACAAATATTGACAGAGGAGAGGATGCACGACATATGTGGATAGTTGTTGATGCTTTCTGGCAGATAAACAAACGAGAGTACCACATGTAGCACCCACTCAGTTACAGTGGAGACATCTCAACTCACTGTCATCTTTTTCTTTTCAACTCTCCTTATGTTTTTATTTTGTTTTTTACTTGAGATTCTATTTTCTGCTGCTAAGCTTGGATGATCCTGCAGTGGCATGGTTCAAAAGACCCCGCAGCCTTTTCCTACATCAACGAGGAAAGGCTGGCCAAGTCTGAGAAGGAGGTGAAAGAGTGAAAGAGAGGGAGCGGGACAGGATTGCACTCAAGTGGGAGCATTTAGCCACTTGAAAAGTCAGAGGGAAATGCAATGGTAAAAACTGAAGTGGAATGGCAGCCTAAATGGGTTTCTCTTTTTCTCTGTTTCTCCTGTGAATCTCCGAGGACTATGTGGCAGCACTCGGCTGAATATCTGAGTCACTGAGACTAACAGCTGAAATGTATCCTGATGTTTCAAATGTCTGGGGCACTTGAGTTGCTCAGTTTAAACAGAGAAATGTCAGACTGCTCAGGGGAGAGGAGAGAGGAAGATGAAAGGATCAACGAGGGAAGGGGAAGGTAGAGAGGCACAGGTATGTGTGTGTACAAGCTTGAATATGCACAATGATGTACATTGAACGTTTCATCCTAACATCAGTTCTAAGTGCTCATCTTCAGCTCCCTTATGTAACAATTATCTACTCTGATTTTCACCTGTTCCTTCCCTCCTCCTCCAATGTGGTCTTTTTGTGTCCCTTTTATTTGAGTAGACATTTTAATGAGATGTAATGCTGAGAAGTAAATGGGGCCCAGATGTTTGGTTAATGTGTAAATCACATCTAGAAAACATTGAATCAGTCTGAATTTAGACACAATTTAAGTAAGGCCCATTACTATACTTGTTTTCATTTAGCCAAAGCCCAAATGTTGCAAATATATCAGTAAGATTTCAACTGTAGGAGTGATGTAACTATTGAAAAAAAATCAAGGGCGGTAAATATACAGTATGTATATCAAAACATTGGTGTCGATGGTTGATAGGTTGACCTTAAAGTCTCAGACATGTCAGAGCCTCATGTCCTTTAGCTAGCAGCCTAAACATAAAGTGCTACATAAAGATAGAAAAATTGCCATGTGAGTGCAGTTCTACGTGGTACAATAGTAACAATAGAAAAACATATATTCTAAAATGTTGTACTTTTGTTTTAGATAGAAATGAGGGCAGTAGTGATTCTACTTTCTCATTCTCCAGTTCCGCAGTTTTCATTTGGCTTAAACAAGTAAAAAGACACTAAGTAGCGAAACCCTTCGAAGCATCCCACTGTGATCTGCATTGTGTGGCCTATTTTTATAATAAGTGTTCTCAATAACTCAGCTCGATCTCTCGATTAGAAAAAAGCACGGGAAACAACAAAGACTAAAGCTGGACAGAAAATCTAGGTTATGCAAAAAGGGTTTGCATCAAATATTAAACTTGTGAAAATAAGACTGAGCAATACAGAAAGTATTTGTGCTGCCCCAATTTATTTCTTTTTGTAAGTGCAGAGAAATCTGTGTGCCCAGTATTTGTGCTCATGCGTACATCCTTTACTTGTGTTCATTCCTCTTCCCCCCAAAAATACAAGTTTCAATTAATTTAGGTCAAATTATGTAACTTTTAAGGGAGCAGATGGCCTTGCAGTTATGTTGTGCGTCATGTACAGATACTATAATCCTCCAAGCAGGTTGCCCGGGTTCAAGTCCAACCTATGCCTCCTTCCCACATGTAACTACCCACACTCTCTCCCTGATTTCCTGCCCCTACCCACTGTCCTATCAAATAAAGGCAAAAAGGCCCAAAATAAAAATGTATGCAACTTTTATAAAGACGCCATCATTTTGACCATATCTCAGAACTGCTAGATTTTGAACGCTGAAATGTTGCCTAAAAAAAGTATATACTGTTTCATAATAAAAGTCGAGAACTGACTCAACAACATCAGTTCAGCAATTTAACTAAAAATCTAAAACATCGGTCACATAAGCTACTGGTCATTTACAACCAATCAAGCTGAAGCAGCGAAATCTCTCAATGTATTAAAATCAACAAGTTTCTTTGAATTTAACTTTCCATTTCCATTAAGAGGGTTGCTTTATTTTTTCCAATAAAAAGTATCCCAGTCATTCTCTAAAAGCTGTTCGCTTAAAATATTGTTGCCCGAGAAATCTGTTGATCTCTAGCTGTTAAAGTTACCGTGCTGGTATTTAGTAATTAATCCTTTAAGATAGCACCTCTTGGCTTAACTTTGATTAAAAACAATTGTGATATGAAACTGTGTTAACATGTGCTCACTGTTAGACCTAAATAATGATGCCTTATCTGTATTACCATTGTGTACAAACCATAGCAATGTCTGTGTTTAAGAGTACGTGTGTATGTGTGTGCTTATAGCTCACTGATGAAATTAGTCTGGCCAGTGTAGATGGTGTACTGCAGCTCGTAGGAGGTGACGCTGAACTCGTCCTCAGATGTCCAGTGGACAGTGATGGTGTCATGGGAGGCGGTGCACAGCTCGTCTCTGATGGAGGGAGGGTTCGGAGCTTCATGTGAAGGAAACGACAACAGGATTTAACATAAATTAAAGAAAAAAGGTTATGAATCAAGAAGGATAACTAATAAAGTACATCTTTAAATAGTTCTGAGAATTTAATTCACTTGCAAATAACTATATTTTCATGTAAGAAATCACAACATTTCATTATAAAACAAAACAGTATTTAATTTAAATAACGAAGTTTGACCTTCTAGACTCGACGGACACAGCACAGCTCTCACCTGTCAGGTAATCTAGCCCCTCCAAAATTTTCTTCTCTCTGGAAAAGTCCAGGGCAAAGTTGTCAAATGCCTCGTTCAGGTTGACGTCAGGGATGAGTACCTGGGAGGAGGCCGTCGCCATGGCAACCCTTTAGTTGGTCAAGGTGTGGGGGTCAATGGAAGAAAATGTCAGCGGAGAGATGGAGAGGTGAGCGAACAGAGGAAGGTCAGGAGGTCAGACGAGGTGATCAGAGGAAAAGAGCGGAGGAGCAATAAAAGATGTAAGGTGAGGAAGACGGGGGAAAATTGTGAGGAGAGAGAAGGAGTAGAGGTGGAAGATGGTCATGGAAAAACAAAAGGAGACAGAGGGTTGGAAGGGGGGGGAAAAGTAGAGAGTTAGAAAAAAAACAAGTTTAGAAATATTCAGAACATCAAAAAGAGGTCTGGCAATCCCAAACCTGCCCAACAATAAATCACATAGTAGTATATTAACCCAGAGATCCGTCAAATCCCAACAGGCCAGACATACACTGACAAACTGTCTCCACTGTTGTGTACAGCTTTGTGGAAACATGTGCCTTCTACTTCTGCGCTGAGCATCAGTGAGCCAACTGTGGCAGGAAGCAGCCTGAACCACAGAGCTGGCAGGGTTACAGAGCGGAGCAGCGACCGGCACTAGTCCTTAAGACTTCTGCTCCTCAGTGAAGAGAAACTAGTTGCTCAATATACTCAGCCAGGGCAAGTACTGAAAAAAACGCCGTACAAAAAACTGTCTGTGTGAGCGAAAAGGTTAGAAAGTTTCTGGCCCGTGTTGGGAGGTGGGATGAAGGTATTACAGAGGAATCCAGGTGGAAAGAGCAACTGCAGAGCCAGGCCCAGAGATGATTTTCACAGAGGTCTGACATTGATCGCAGGAGCTCCAAAAGCTTTGTTTTAATTGTGATTTAGCCTCTTAAGATTGGATTTCGAAAAGAAATAAAAGCTAATATATGTGATCTCTTTGTAGGGCAGAGGGTTTAATATTTTAAACATTGTCTCTTAATACAATTTTAAACGTTTGTATGTCCTAGTATCTTACAATGTGTGTCTGTGTATAACAAGAAATTAAATCTGTCTTTTTTTTTTTTTTTTTTACCAACAAGCCGTTTGGTGTAACGTGAAAGAATCACAACAGGAAGGTATCAAAAGAGAAAGCATCACCGACATCACCCACCTCTCGGCTACATTCCGGGCGGTCTGGAGGAAGCGGGCGTGGTCGTTCTCCTTCAGGCTCTGTTCGGCCTGTGTGATGAGCGCGCTGGATCGTTCCAGACACTGGCGGCAGTTTGCGATCTGCTGAGCCAACTTACGCAGCTTCATCACCTGGACACACACACACACACAGAAACACACAACATGTTGCTGTGTTTCGACACAAATTTGCATGTATTCCCTCTATGTGAACCTTAAAAGGAATACATGACTAGACTGTTCAATTTGTCCTATAATAAAGAGAACATAAAAACAACACGAGTTTACCAGAATACAAATATTTCTGGTGTAGCCAAAGGCAAACACCCCATTCTTCCACAGTGCAGTGCAATTTTTAGCTATACTTTGTCTTTCATCACGTCTTCCAATTCTCAGACAAAGGCAGTCTCTGCTGTTATTGATCTTTTATGCTCATCTCCCGTCGCTGAAAATAACTTCCCAAATTGTTTCAATGCACTGCTCTAATTCTGGGAATAAAGTACCCCAGAACCCCCTATACCTGGGAAATACTTTCAAATAGGCTGCAGCGATTTAAGCATGAGCTATACCTCACTGTGACTGCCCCTTATCCACAAACATGTTTCACACTATCAGAAAACATTAGTGAGTTTTTTAAAATAACAAGAGACCTCAATTAGATTTAGTCAGGCTTGTAAAAACTCACATAAGTCATGGAGAAAATGCCTGCATTATTCTACTTTATCACCTTTATAAAAGCCATGCTGTGCATATCAACAGTCAGTCAGGGGGGTCAGAGGAAACACAGACTGAGTTGTGTAATGCAATCCTTCCTGACAGTAATTTGTCAAAGGGTTTGATTTCATTTCAGCAGAGCATAAGGAAGCCCTTCTATGCCTACTTGAAGCTAAGTTAATCCATTTATCTTCATTACGGCTCATATCCGGATTCCTAGAATTAACTTAGTTTGATGAAACTCTCCACAGGAAAAAAAAAAAAAAAACACAGCCTGCTTGTGAGCCTCAAGACTGTCAACAAAAGGTGAGCTGTGGAATAAGAAAAACAGCTTTCATATGGAGTTGAAAAGCATCTCAGGAATAATGATTGAAGGAAACTGCGTTGAACTTTGAAAAGTTAAGAAGTTGAAGAAAGAAAATGTCATTGTCTTGTTCAAGCATACTTCTGGAAACAACTAACCACTTAAATCTCGAAACAATGAAAAGAAAGAACCGTCCCAAAGACGAGTGCCCTGAAAGGATTAGTCATTAAGATGTTCTGCAAGACATTTTGGCTTTTAGAGTTTGAATTATTCTAAGAAGAATTCACAATAAAACACTGGGTGGCAATTAGTTAATAGCTTGTAAAAAAAAAAAATTAAAATAGAATCTAATGTGAAATCACTTTCACAGAGCTTTACCTTTGAAGAAGCATATAAGCTGCCTTCAAGACCACCTTCAGGTTGTTAATAACTCAAAGAGGAGGAGCGAGGCACGTTTAATGGATCGGTTATTATTTAGCAACATATGCTGCACACAACAATTTTAGAGATGATTACTCATCTCTCTTATAATAATGAACAATATGGCGGTCCTCTCAGTGTGTGTGTGTGTGTGTGTGTGTGTGTGTGTGTGTGTGTGTGTGTGTGTGTGTGTGTGTGTGTGTGTGTGTGTGTGTGTGCGTGCGTGCGTGCGTGCGTGCGCGTGTGTCTCATCTTACGTAAACAGTATCTAATCAAGAGACAATCAAAAATGACAATCAATATTCAATCTTAGCTTTAGAATTATTATAAACCAGTCCATCAGTACTTGTCCAAATTGAGTTCTAAATGAAAAATATAATTTAATGTTATAAACAAGATTTGGATTGTGCATTTGTGAGCTTTGGTACTGTTCAGGGGGGCTTAGTTGGTTATGTTGAATAGATCCAGATAATTCACCTGTAAACAGTGTTTCTACTATGCTAAGCTAGTAGCTAGCAAATCTTTTGTCAGCAACATTTTTTGTAGCTATATCACCAGTTTTTGATAGTCTACTAGAGTCATTTTTTCATTTTTTAACCTTTGGCACTGAGAGGTTTCAGACTCATTTGAACTCCGGTGATGTGTGGCTAGACCATGTCAGCCTTAACCTTAGTATACTATAGACAAACTGAAATATTCATTACTAATCAAACACATCTGAGATGCTCTTAGGAGCAAAAAAAAAAAATAGATTGAAGATAGGAAGAAAAGAATGGAAGGCAAGCAGAGCCAAACAATAACAACAGACGTTCACACAGCAAAATGAGAATAGAGTATGTTTGTTTGGGCAGGGAGAGATTAGGCATGACTGCGGCGCCTCCTCAGAGACAGACAGAGCTTGTTAGCGGGAGGTTAAGGACAGAGAGGATGGGAGCACCTTGCAGAGCGCTGCACACCATGATCAAGCCTGCATAATCCTGTTACTCTGTGGCAGAGTTACTTCTAAGTATTTTAGTTTCTGACACTGTGTTAAACAAAAAAGAAGAGCAGCAGGAATGTTGCAAAGCCTGAACAAGATGTGTTAATGTGATCTCTTGTGGTCTCCCCTCTCCTCCTCTGCTCTTAAAATCCATTTTTACTATACCTGTGATAATTGAAATTCTCAAATTTCATTTCCTTTACCTTTTAGCCTTCAATATTAACACATCACCTGCAGGCTTCCATCAATCAAAAGCCTTCCTCTGGTGTATTTCACTCCGTAGCCTCTACCAGACAGCCTTTTACAGAGCCAGACTCTCAGGAGAAGCAGCCTTGCTCTTTGTCTGCAATCAGTGCGGACACACTCTGACACAGTCTCGTTCTACAAAAGAATGCCACAGCTTGTTCAGACCTTGTGTGCAGTGTTTGGAAAATGTTTTATCTAGTTTTATCAGTTTTCTGCAGCCTCAGAGTTCTTCCACAAGAACTTAAAACTTCACCTCTGGGAGGGAAAAATGAGGACTTACCTCTGTCCTGACACCCTGCGCTCTCAGGGGGGAGGCATCGTACCATACACACACACACACACACACACACACACACACACACACACACACACACACACACACACACACACACACACACACACACACACACACACACACACACACACACACACACACACACACACACACACACACACACACACACACACACACACACACACACACACTCCTTTGTATAGAAGGTCCAGTACTGTCATAACTGGCTCTTTTGCTATCTCAGAGTCTTCCCATACACAAACACATGTTGGCTACCTACATGTGGGAGAGCGCCCTGCTATCTCGCCTTTTTTTGGAAAAACACAGAGGCATCCTTATAAAATCTAGCAGCAAGAGACCAAAATGAATATATTCTTTCCATGTGCTGCTGCTTGTCTTCACTCAAATACACTGTATCACTACCACTGAACATTGAACTTAAACAAATTCGATAACCTTGACATGTTTCTGTATTAAACCTCCTCTCTATCTATAAATAATATCAGCACTGAATCACGATAATGGGCACTGTTGAATTAGTCACTTGCGATGGCAGACTCACACAGGATTATTCTTCATCTCTGCCGCTCTATGGAGCTAATAGGCTAATTTAAGCGAATTGTTTGGGTTATTAGGAACGCGTGCTGCTTGTTTCGCTGTAAGATTCACTCTCACTGCTCCCATCAATGTTTTCTAGCAGCAGTACAAAAGTACAAAGAACAATTGGTCAGTAGAATATTTTCTACAAATTCTTGCCACACTGCCAGCACCAAACAACACACACACTTTGCAAGCTGACAACACTTTTTTTTCCCCCCAGGAGTTTGTCAGTCAGAATAAGAAGTAAAATGTCAGTGAATATCTTCATTTTCATTCATCAGCTATGGTAAATTCAGAGGGATGATAATGTTGCTTTGTGTTTGCAACATGTAGGCCTACACAGGCAGCCAGTTACTGCTAACTAACCAGTGGCTGACTTGCTAGCCATAATAAGTTTTTCGATGCAGTATGATAAACAGATTTGCCTGTCAGCTTGTTTTTAATCCTTCTTTTAACGCTCTATCAAATCTATCAAAGAGGATTTAACCTGCGCCATTCATCATGAGCTTGACTTCATCAAAATATCAGTTGTAAAAAGTCTCATGCCTAACCTGAGACCAGAAGAGGATGAAGGAGCGTTGGCAATACTTCACCTTGGACTCTTTGATCTTCACAGCGATGACCTGTTTTCTCTGGCGGATGATCTCCACCAGCTCATCACACTCCTCCACCAGCTTGGCTTCATGCATGGCTGTGTTGACCTGGGGAGAGAAGCAGGTACACATGTCAACATGACTGAGATATAGACTTCCTAACACATGGGCACATTCATTCATGTTTTCTAAAATATGCTTTTAATGACACTTGATTTACTCTTGACCATATGTTACATTTTATTTTGTCTTCTGTGTTCTGACAATTCATGTGATTTTGTATCCTCTTCTGTTTGTAAAGAGCTTTGTAAGACTTCTGGATGGCAGCTTAGACGGTTCATATCATCGCTTACATACAGAGCAGGTCATTAGTTTTCAATTTCATTATTCATTCTGCACACAAGGACAAGATGCCTCCAACAAGATGCACACATGGATTAGAATTAACTTGCAATTAACTATGAGGAGGTTTCCAACTCTTGACACTGGGAAGCGTGTGTTAAAAAAAAATCACACATTAATCAACAACAAAAACTATTTGAATTCCACAGATTAAATACACTGACAGGTGGTTACCTCTTTATTCATCATTTATCATATAGGGGAGACAAAACAGAAAATATAGCTTGCAGATTCCCTTTTTTTGCTGGAGGGAAAAACGGCTCCAAGAAAAATGGGTTTATCACTGCTGGGTTTATATCACAACTTTTCCTCTTTGCCTGAAACCTTATTGAGAGAAACCCCTAACATGCTGCATGAGATGCACTGAAACACCTTTTTCTATAATATGTTTATTTCACTTATAATTAGCAAGAAGTAGGTTGAAGTTGTTGGAATATTCATCTCTTATTAAAGAAGCTCCCAAAAGGCCCTGTGTAGACACTCATTAACTCACAGACAAAATGTGCTTGCACCACGCCAATTTAATGGAGTCTGTGATTCTTTTAGAACAGAAGTTACCATTAAGGGAACTCACTATCAGTCCAACATCTCAGGATAACACAAAATGAACAACTAACTTGAAACCAGTGTGGGTGGGTGTGACTCATTTAACACTTAAGGTGTTTGCAGACCTAAGGCACACGTTCTACTCTTCTAAGTTCAGATGTATATCCAAATTCACCTGTGAGGATTGATTTAAGAATTGATGGTTCACCAATGAGCTTATTGTGGTCGCCGTTTCAACAGCAAGTTTGAAAGAAAGGAAATCACATCACATTTATAGGAGACAAAAAACCTCACTGGATGTTGCGCTGCCACCACAGACCAGACGCTTTATCTGTTTGGAGAGTTACAGCTACAAATTTAAGGACAGCTAAATGGGCTGTCCCGGATAGTTGTGCGCACACACAGTAGCTTTCTTCTGCACTAGACAAAAGCCGGGTAGTCATGATTAAAAAGACTGTGGGAAGTTTTCACTCTAACTGCTAGCTTTAAAACAGCTGGAGCTGCACAAGAGAAGAGGAAGTACGCTAACACATCCAAAAAAAAAAAAAGCTCATCATTAAGCATGGCCTCTGACTGCCTCACTGGAGGCTGAAGTGTTTGTTTTGACAAAAGCACTAGTGAGTGATTTCTGCAGTGCACTGACTGTAGCAAGAGTACTGCTGAGCTGGGAAACACCAAACAGACATAAAACAGAGGAAGCATTGTTAGAGAACAACCCTCACACTGCTCTGACTGGGGTGTACGCATAAAGTCAGACACATTCATGTTCAATTAAAAATTGAATCACATCAAGTGACTCACGATTACAAATTAAGACTATTCTGTCAAAGCTGATTTATATTAAAATTCTAAAAATTAAAAAGGTAACATGATCTTTTTGTAACATTCAATAAGTTCAAATGTAATTAAGTCCAGTTCAACCAAAGAAAAGAATGATAAGAGGTGAATGTAGCATGTTCTTTCTCAAGAAAAATGCTGATTATATCAATATCTTAACAAATGATTAGAGTTGTTCTTTTAATTGTCATGACTGTGAACAGATCCAGCTCACACAATCTGTCCTTTCTTATTATTTAATTCTGTTAATGTATCTAACGGGCTGGACATTCATATCACCACAATGCAGTTGACATCACATTTCCCCCTGTCACATAACATCCACTATAACATCCACTAATGATCTGATAACACCTGATAAAATATAGCCACAAGTTGCATCGGCAGTCATAATTACGCTTAATAGGTAAGATGATATAATGCATAATAATCAACCGAACTGTATGAAATAAATCCATCAAACTGTGTTTCACATAATTCAATCAGACAGCAGAGAAATTGAATCATTACAAAACTAAATCACAAAGTAGAACTTCTCTACATTCTCACCTCTGGCTCTGTATAAGGTGGGTGACATGGAGCCAGTGTGCTCCTGAACATCATTACTTCAGCTCCTGCACAATGTCAAGATTAAATTATTTGCCTCTCTTCTGTTATTCTGTGGAAATGAGTAGTACTACTGTATTACTAGCTATAATGAAACACAATGAGCCATGCAGCTACATTTTTATTCTTGCTCTACTTGACTGACAGTCACTATTCACCACCTACACAGAGAATAATGATGTGAGTGACGTGTGTGAGCACGGTGCAAATCATGCATACGCTGTCAATCACTCAACTTTAAAAATGGAAGCAAGTTTTTTTCCTTCTATATTCCCCTGATGTAGAGATTCTTTTTCACGATGTTGCGTTATTTTCAACGAGTCTGTTCACTTCAGATAAATAACATGAATACGTCTAATGATGCTGTAATGCTCATCAGTCTTGATTTGACTGTGTATTTGTCTTAACAACTGTCACAAGTGGAACACCACAATAGCATCAGGAACTGAATTATCCATCTACTCCTACGAATCAAATTCTAATTTATGTTATTTAATTGTTCATCTTAAAAATAACAATTGTTCAAACCACCAGTTTGAATTATCCATCAATAAAATAAATGATGTTTATAAAAATAAAAACAAAAAAAACAAACTTGGAATAAAATAGATTATTCAGAAAACTATATTTAGGTCCAAAGACGTGTTGAATGAGTAGATGTAGGCAATATAAAAGTGTATCTTTAAATAGTTTATCTCTAAATTTAATTTGACATGTGTCTGCAATATTTAAAGTCTTATAGCTCCTTTATTACATTTCCTCCCCTCATGTCTCCTGGTTTCTTAATTTTCCACACCTTGGCTCATTTTCCACCAGCCCCTGATTTTGTCATTGGTCAACCCCGTTCATAATCTCCCCTTGTTTTCTTTTGACAGAATGTCTTTGTTTGTCCTGATGGGATCAGCAAGTTTGTTGTGTTGTTTTCTACATTTTTGCTCATTTTTGGATCTCTTTAGCTTTTCCATTATGAAGGTGTTTGCAATAATTCTGAGCTAACCTCCCTGTGTGCTCCCACCCATGTATTCCAGTAAGATCTAGGACTTTTTGATCTTCACCTTGTGTCCTGTTTAATTCATGGCCTTTAAGTCTTATCTTGGGTTTTGGGGTCGTCAAAGAAAGTCTCGTGGGTTGTCAAAATTGACGAAGCTTAAATACTTTTCAATATCACGTTTTAAAACGATAGAATCTCTGTCATTTTGATGATCAAAAAGAACCAAAGAAAAAAAAAACTTCAAGAGGAAACTTTGACCAAAAGCTGCCTCCAGCAAAAGAGCATCATCTAAATTTGACAAAAACAAGAAATAATAATATATTAATATAACAATGATAATATATTTTTATGCCATGAAATCAAAACAGGTATTGATATTATCTTAATTTTCTAGTATCCTTTCATAGTTCAAAATACTACTTCATATGACCAGAAGCACATGATTGGATAATGTTTACCTCATCTGTACAAGTCACTTTGTGTTTGTTTGATAATTGCATGAAGGAAGAAAAACACCAGCAAGTTAAGAAAAGATGCTGTATGAAATGCAACAAAGGGCTTGGTTCTTGGTTCGCATCGTGATCTGTGGGCCACCAGAATGCCCCAATTCTGAATCATTTTATTAACTGTCAGTCTATAAGCACCCTGGGGTTTGGAAATAATCCAAATCTACAGTAGCCGATAGCCACTCTCATAGGATTGTGTTATCCCTGCCAAAGAGCAGATAAATTCCAATTACAGACCACAAGCACAAACAACATACAGCTCAAAAACTCTAAATGTCCTCTACTGGCCAGAGTGGATTCCATCCAAACTTAGTGAAGACTGATCCAGGTTCAGAACAGCTCTTAACCTCTCACTGACACCAAAACTTTCACATCTTGAATCAATTCTGAGCTCATTCCACTCCCATCAGTCTCTACTGCCTCCTTTCCCGCCTTACTTTTTTCTTGTTCTCTTTGTTTTAGCTGTCTCTGACTGGTCCCAATCCTCTCTGCCTCAAACTGACCACTTCTGGAACTCTCCCACTGCACACACCCTCCCTCCACTTTTGTTCTCTCAGACATGATCTCCTCAAACAGATGCAAGGATTTACTCTGACAGCTTTATCTCTGACTCCACACACTCGGGGGTACTTCCAACGAGATTTATGACACCAGAGTGGCACTTAACTTTAAAACAGGGAAGAATAGCTTAATGGATTCAACAGAGTAAAGAATGTGGACACACAGGGACGTTATGTCAGATAGAGGTGATAATCAAGAATGCTTCACTGGCCACAGACTGAGGAGTTCTTTTAAACTTTGATGCTTATCAGATTCACTAACATTACATTAATCCCAGATGAGTCATCGTTGTTTTAAATACCCTTGTCAAACACCATTTGAATCTCACATCTTGAATCTTAAAGCTCATCATATCACTGATGTGCTGTATATTTATTCCGTGTCAAGTGTTTAGTGTCTGTTTAGTATCTGTTTTAAGGTCAGTCTTTTCTATCAAACTGGTGATTTTGTTTCATTGAAGTCCAATCCACAATCCAATGCAGCATCCAATCAATTTGTAGCTCACCACATCTCCCTCCTATCTTCTCGATGATCCCCCTTCCTACGAGGGGTGACAGTGACAGGACGTCGTCCAGTTCAACCAAGGAGCGAGGAACATAATTTAAGACAACTGAAATGTAGGGCCTGTGATACTGACGTTAACATTTGGTATCAGGATGTATTTTGTTGAAGCAGACCCTAAAAGAGCTGCTAGCATAGATAGCTGTAGCCTCTTGTTGATGTTTCGTCATCCTTGACATTATTTGCCCTTTCGCTAAATTGCTGTGAATTTAAAAGAATGAACTCGGCAGATGGAAGGAGGAAAATGATAGAAAAAATTGAAACATTAACTGAAAATGACAGCAGCGTCTGTGCGAAGTAGGGGTGACCCCATATAATCGAATACTCGACAATTTGTTCGTCACAGAAATACAAGACATGTCAGTCAATGGCACAGTCACTTTCATTCGGCGACAGCCGTCAGAACAGGGGGAGGCACCACCTTTCAACAAAGGCTCTCATTGGCTGTTATAACTGTTATGAGGTGTCATCAAAAGGCAGCGAGCAGCAGAGTTTATTTGAAGCAATCTGTGGATCTTTATGGATGTAATGTGAAGGTAAAAGACGTTTGTTTGTTGGTGGTCTGACAGATGCGTACTTGTGACTGCTGAGGTCGCTGAATGCGCACACACTCGGCTGTCAGTGTGTGTGCCTGTGCGACAGTCAGTCGACCCAAAAACTGACGAATCAGGTTCGATTATGTAAATCTTTAGTCTGGGATAGGCCTTGTGTGAAGGATTTCATTATATTCCAGTATCCAACTGCATTGACAGCTTCATCTTCGTCTGAAAACTGAACTGCAAATGGCTTAAGAAAAAAGCAAAGACAAACAGGTGCAGCGGATTCGTCCATCTCCCTGATGCTCCTGTAGAAAGGTAAAGAAAAGAGGGGAGATGAATCCTGATGTACAGGATTAGGTGGCATTACAGCCACCTCCAGTCGGCTATTTTATATTCTGCACAGATACAGTGGGATCAGCTTCTGTTTAAACAAACCTGGACAGGTCTGGACTAATGACTTACTGCTCACTGTTTAATCAGTAGACTTTCATGTTTTAAGATTAAGACCCACTGGGCTTCTGTCTGATGTGATTCTTTCCTTTTCAATCCTAACACACACACTAAAAACTTTAACAGCGGGCTAATTTAGTTTCCTCGCAGCTGGCAGGCAGTTTCAGGAGTTGGGGTGGGGAAAGTGGCTGCTGCTTTTACTGCTTCCTCAAACAATGCTTACTCTATATTAGCCGCATCTGGATGATGTGTTCCCTGCCATGAGATACAATATGTGCGCCAGGCAAACCTACGCCTTGTTAGGGACTGCACTCATTAAAAAAGCCGCCAGCAAAGATCGGTGTGTCACAACACTTCCTCTGAGTGGGCACAAACCCACCGAATAACAGCAGAATAAAAGTGGGACAGAGTACGACAGAGAGAAAAGTTTCGTCAACTGTCAAGTTGCAGGCAAAACAACGACCTAATATCACTGTTACATTTAGGAGACTCCAGTGTGTAAGCCTTTAAGGACGTATTATGTAAGCATGAAAGAGAATGCTCCGTGGGAATCAATAAATCTGCTAAAAACTTGCACAAAAGGACTGCATGTGCATCCTTTGAGATGCTCATTTGAACAAGAGGCAATAAAGTAGTAGCTAGAACAAAACTGGGAATCAATATAACACTGAAAAATATAACTTGCTTTTGCACATGAAGTAGTTACACATATTTTGGAACATATAAGCAATGAGGTAACACGTGCACCTAAAATGGATGAATAGGTAAGATACTTTACGCTAGTATTGTGCAGGGGGACTTCAGGTGCCATGTAACAGACTCTGCGAATCATCCCAGTTCTCATTGTGGCTCACATTTCGTTTCGGTTGCTATTGTATCAGCATTTATTTAATATCAAAGTGGTTTTAGGGGAATGCTTTTTGCCAAATAGCCTAAGTGAGTGTAAATTCTCTGCTGCCATTCTTTCCCATCCTGCTCCCTGGCCCTGAATGAAAAACAGTCAAGAGTATTTGCTCAACAGCTGTCACCGCAAAAGCTCAAAATCACACCTTGCTCAAGTTTTCAAGAAAGAAGAACATGCTTCTGAATGTCATTAAGCACAGCGACAAATTCTAGAATGGTACACCAAATATTGTGATAAGGAACTAGGGCCTCCTAAGAAAGGAACATCCTACACTCTTCAAATCAATGAATCTTTTTTCTAAAACCGAGGAGAAGATAACTCCCAGAAGAGAACCCTAGGAGAACAACGCTGCAGCGCTGCTGCGTTTGCTGACACACTGGAAGCTGATTCACTCTGTGTTTGATCGTATCTTTGGCACGAATACAACATGATGCACACAAGGAGGAGAGGAATCCAGGTCATGCACAAAGCCCAAAGAGATTTCTTACTTTGCACAAACTTCTCTCACTTCACTAAATTTCATTTTTCCACTCGATCACTTTGTCTTTTGCATAATTACTGAACGGGGTGCCGGTGGCATGCCACATGTACCGAGGCTGTTGTACTCGCAGCAGCAGACGGCCCTGGTTCAAATCTGGCCTGTGGCTCCTTTTCCGCATGTCATCCTCCACTCTCTTTCTCTCTTCTATCCAATGTCTTATCTCTTAAATAAAGGCATACAAATTCCAAAAATAAATTTAAAAAAAAAAAGCGTTCTTTTCCACATTGTGCCTGTATTTGGTTCGGTCAAGAGATCGGAGATTGGTTGCCATGCTAACGCTCATCCTCACTTCTCCCATACTTCCTCTACATGCTGCTTCAACCCTGCTCCGTTCTTCATTTTTCTACCCTTTTTTTCCCCCTTCCTTATATTTTCCTTTCCTTATGTTTCTCCTTTGTCTCGCCTTGTTTGCCCTTTCTTCTCCTTGTGCAACTCGAATGTAAATGTAATCACCTGAAAACACTACAATAATCAAACTTGCCTTTTGTCATTGTCATCACACAGGGGAATAGACCTGAATGAGCACAAACAAAGCAGGAAAACATAGAGTTTCTTTTAATAATTTGCTTAAGAGGCAATGGAGCATTTCCCCCTCGATGCTATCACTCCTCATTTCTTTTTGATGAATAAGTGATGAGATTCTGTTGTTGTTCGCAGAGACACATCGCTACGCAGTCAGATGCAGAGGAAGACCAATTTCTCTTTCTGTGCATTTGTTCATGAACAGTTTGTTTGTCGCTAATGAATCACGCTGTGGTCATTTAATTTTGATTGGGTGAGCCACAACGAGACGTGTGTTTTGTGGACCTTAGATTGACTGGGAGTAAATAGAGTCAGGTCGTCGAATAAGAAATGAACCGAGCACAGAATGATGGCGGCACCAAGCGTGCATTTGTCCTCTGTGGCCATTAATGTCAAGTCCCATGGAGCAATGATGGTGTTTATAAAGAGTGAGTGCTTTAAAACACAAAGTATTCGATAGAGTGTGTTTGTGCAGTCACATTTTAATGCAGACAGAGCTCAATGACTGGCTACACAGTATCTCCATTGAATCATAGCAGGGACACCGGCCGAGATATCATAATCTCCTGACAGGTTTAAGTTCAAACAAGGACATCAGAGAGCAAAGACTCCCCCGAGGTTGTCACTAAATCTAACCAGGTGAGCTGTGATAAATTACTGGCTTGAGAATTAATAAAGTTCCCCTTTGGAAGATATATTTATCGTTAGACAGATTATCTTATCTGCTTTGACTTGGGAGCATAAATTTCTTGCACCGGTGGGACCAGGGGAAATTAAACTGTGGAGGTTTTGCAACATCACGTCCTCCTTAAAATTCGATGCACTAGGACAGGTTGAAACATGACCTTAAAGTGGCAGAAAACATGATTTAATGACAGGAAAAAGAACCACATTAAGCTGCTGCCTCAAAAAGTAGGAACAGTTGAGTGTAAGAGCGTGTGGTGCAACGCTGCCCAAGATAATTGGTCTTTCCAATTCAGAAGCAATCAGAATTACATAACCGCCCTTATAAACCGTTTTGGATTGAACGTTTGTTGAGAGCTGTTTCAGCTCGTCTTTGTTGCTGAGTCATGGTTTGAGTACAAGAGGCCACCTAGACCCTTCATGGCATCTGGTGTTATCATTTTAATTTCAGTGACGATAAAAAGGCTTTTAAATTTAAAAAGATTAAAGATGAATACATTTTAAAGACAGATTGAAGTCATCATTAATGCATCTGTGCAGCTTCTTTGGTTTAGAGTCTTGTCTTTCTTTCCTCCGATGAATAATTCTTCTCATAAATTATCTGAAAACGCAGCTGCAATGTTGGCCCTTTCATGAACCTGCAATCTGTATCTGAAACTAACTTTCAATGTTGAGACTTATCAATATTTGATAAAGCTATAGCCACGGCAACTGGAATAAAGGAGCTGTAATTTCATTACAACCCTGATTCGAGAGGACTGAGAGAAACACACAACGGAGGTCAAATTTCTAGCCCTGTACTTCTTCAATCAGACAGTGTTGCAGAGTGAGAACAGCGTGGTATGAGAGCAGTCACCAAAAACAGAGGCAGCGGTGTACAATCAATAACAGTGGCAACGTTGGTTGTTAATGCGTCTCTTACAGCAGGAGTGAGAAAATCCATTCAGGCTAAAGTCTTAACCTAACCCTTGAAATCTTCATCGACCTGGAAACTGAAAAGCAAAACCTTGCTTTCTATGAGATTACTTCTGAAGCTTGACGCATTGATGCTGCCAGATGACCGACTTGGTTGACTTTATATAAATCCCTAGGAACTTTAATGATGTGACAGGCGAGCCAAATTTGTCAACATATATGGCCCTAATCTCTGGGAAATTGTCACCCATGCCACTTCAAAGCTGCTGCCCTATAGAGTAGTTGACCTCAACCTCTAACTATTATGTTTTTTAGCAACAAATAAGACAATGTCCATAACATGAGCTCACCAAACAGCTAAACACACAAACACAAAGACGATGAAACGTGATACATACCTCGACTTGTTGACAGATCTGGATTAGCTTGGCCATTTGGTTCTCCAGTTCACTGTTCCTCTTCACCAGGTTGGTCAAGTTGTTCTCCAGGGTTTGCTGTTGGGGAGGATGAAGAAAGGAGCATGGGACAAAGGAAAGAGGAGGAAGACCAGGAACAAGGAGAAAAAAAACTGACCATTAGCAGACTTAGCTTTCAGAGAGGGGCAATTTAAAAAAGTAAAGGTCATTCGTTCACATTGGCTAATTCTTGGTTGGTCTTGGCTAACTTGCAATTGGGGTCCTTACTTCAGGTATAAGATATCACTCTTTCAGTAACCAAATGTGTTTTAAAAATATGGGACATGGTGTTTCAAAATAGTGTTGTTTTTTTTTAAAGATATGACTGCCCTGTCATCAACCTGGGCTTCAAATTACTTTATTTTCTCAACCATGAAGAAAAGCACGGGGATGATATGTGTTTAAGAGCTGAAATGTGAGGTAATGCCTGTTTGCTATTCTATCTGGACATAGTCTTTCCAAATTATTATTTGGAATAATAATTGTCTTTACAAAAAAGGTTTCAAATTCAGACACCTCTTCTACCATTTCTCATGATATATCATTACATTCATTCTTTGACAATAGGCCTAACAGTAATTTCTAAACCATGTAGAGAAGGTTTAAAAATGACACATCAATAACAGGGGATCAGCATATGAAACAAAATGTACACAGTATATGAATTCTGTTGAGGAAATAAAATGACCAATTTAGCCCCATAAGGAAATTTTCTCAAAATGAAGCCTTTAACAGTGTTATGTTTTTTATTGTAATATTAATTATCATTACCTTAAATCATCAGACTTTAAAGCCTCAAAATCCACAAAACTATCCCTTCAAAAAAATGAAACCTATCAACCTCCACGAGACATTTTACACTCCATTCCTGTTTCTTAACTGTAACTGTTTGTCAAAGACACTGACACAGAAATAAACCTAACCACACACATATACAGTGCAAAACATGATATGGAAACAGGCAGATATCTAGCCAGAAATAGAACTCCTGCTCAAAGACAGCAAATCAACGACGATGGCAACAATGATGTGCATGGAACAACAACCACAGCTGCAAAGACAAGAGCAGAACAAAGCGGCAGACAAGCGGCGGGTGTTTGATGTAGCTCTACTCATGCAAGTGAAAGGGAGGTGGGCTGGACAAGCACCTGGCCATGAATCTTACTGTCTTACTGTCTGTCTGTCTGTCTGTCTGTCTGTCTGTCTGTCTGTGAGGCAGCCTCCCTGCTCTCCAATATCTCCTCTGACTGTCACTCAGCCTGATTTACTCTGTCTGCCTCTTGTCTGTTTGACTTTGCACCCACTTAATTATTTATCTGCCTGCTTATCTCCCTCCCAGCGTCCCTTCCTTATCCATCCAGGTGTCTACCTGTGTGCCTCTTTGCATCCAAGCGGCAGGGATAAAGGGAGGAAGGGTAGGAGGATGAGGAAGAGGAGGAAGGGTAGGAGGGAATGGGGTGGGTTTGGAGGTAAAAGGCAGCCAGGGAACTCACCGCAGCGCTTGTCTTTGAAGCCTCCATAACCGCATCTGACACTCTGCCCGGGCTCACCTGATAAGCCTACGACACACACACACACACACACACACACACCCACATAAGTGCACACATAAAACACACACACACAGGCGAGCCTTGGCGCACGGTGACTGCCACCTCTACAGCTGTAGAGGAGAGCTCCTCCCTGATAAAGTTGCCACAAACACTCCTCTAAGGGTCTAATAGTTGGTTTCGAATGCAGATGAGACAGTGTGGCTCGCAGTGTCTGTTAGTCACATCACTGGAACGAGCGTTTGGTCGTTGTGTCGCAGCCCTGTGCTGGGTGTTTTCATACGAGGGGGTTTTTTGAAGTGGAACATCAGTGAGAGGGGACAGATGGGTCATTAATTAGCAAGCTGGAGACGAAGATGATTAATACATCTGAACACAGCTGCCTCCCGAGAGACTGCACTGAAACAGACTCCACTGTCCTCTACATACATGCACGTGTGTGAGTGTGTTACCGACTAACTTGATGCTCAAGACTCAGTCGGTGCCTGTAGTCACAAGCACAAAATGTATTGTCAGACATATGCATACAGTATGTCTCTGAGTGTTTACTTGTAGATAAAAAATGCACTTACTCTGTGTGTGTGTGTGTGTGTGTGTGTGTGTGTGTGTGTGTGTGTGTGTGTGTGTGTGTGTGTGTATCTCTTCTCAATATGTCCACAGTAAGTCTGCTGTATGCGTATGAGTTCTGCACAACTAGCGTAGGCACTCCTGTGGCTGCAGCCCAGAATGGCAGAGAGAGAGAGAGAGAGAGAGGGGAAGTAGAGCAACTGTCAACAACAGACTCATTAAAACACACAACAAACATCAAAGATGGTTAGAAACACTTAAATACAGAGAGAGAGGGAGCAGAGAAAAAACAGGGATAAAGGTGGAGTGTTGGTTCGGGAACAGGAGCCAACAAGTGCTGGATTAATGATGATACGTGGGAAAATGCACGGTGATCAGGATACCATTTTTATATCATGATGTGATATCTGATAGAGACAAAAGCGTTATCAAAGCAGCTGTGACCACGTAACAGACACGGAAAAGACATCAGCACGAGATTGAAACAAGTTCTCTGTATTTCAAAAGTTTGAAAGATTACTTTACCAGCTTATTGAGAAATGGTGATTTAATAAACCAGGTGTCTCTGTTAAAACTTCATTTCTTTGCTAGTCTCCACTAAAAATATGGTACAAGTATTTTAAACAGTTACTGTCAGAGAAATGAAGTACCAAGCTAAACAAACCAAAAGTGAGAAGAAACCACATTAGCATGATGAGCTGTAGCATATCTTCTAAAAAGAACACTTAGGTAATAAAACGCTATAGTTAACTTAAATGCTAATCATTCTTAAATAAAGATACTACTTAATGAGAAATACTAAACATATATTGGTATTTTACTCTTGAAAAGAAACGGATTGTATGTCAGCAAGCTAACTTCTACAAGTTAGCTACACAAAAGTTACAACTTACATTTTCTTGGGGCCATTAACAAAAGTTTGTGTTAATCTTCCCTTAGTAGCCTAGCCGTTATAACCGAACTGAATTCAAACTTAGATAATGTTCGGTATTAGCAGCCACCTGCGCAACCAAAGGTTTCATGCTAGTTTCATATTTGAGATATCTAGCAGCTGTTCCTTGAAAAGTACAAATTTACGAACAAAATGCAAAAATGAAGAGAGGCTTAATATAGGCAGATAAGGATAAAGCTAAAAGAGAAGGAAAATCAGAAGAAGTCATGCTGTTATGAAGGGATGAGAGGAGAAAAATGTGAAGAAGATATGAGGAACACATTGTGTTTTAGTTGCTTGAGGGAGGGTGGGACTTGCAGGGTAGGCAGGGTTGTTAGCATAAGGTAATATTATTCATTCAGAGAATAAGCTTTGGACGTGGCATGTCATGAGTGAACAGAGAGAGGGAGCAGAGATGGAGGGTGCTGATGGGATGGAAATAGGCATGAGTCCTGTGATGAGAGGGGCAGTTTGGCAGAGTATCTCCAATCTGGCCTGCCCTATAATTCAGTCATCTGTCTCCTCTGAGATTCTTCTTTTTCCTTGCTATCTGTCTTTCTGTCATTCTCTACCGTTCTCTCTTCTCTGCGTGCATCTCCTCTCCTTCCAACCTGACTCTCTGTCTCCTTCCTCACTCCGTGCTTCTGTACTTCAGTCCTTATTCTGTCCGTCTCTGCACAGTAAGAAGTGCAGCCGCTGACAGCCCATCATCCCCGGTTAGATCAACACCCCCTCATACGACTTCATCGTGTCGAGGGGCTTCTGGGTCTCATTCTTTTGCAGATGATCCCATTTCTCTTTAAACCAAAAAAAATAAAAATAAAAAAGACAGATCCCTATTCATACCACAGCAGCTGAAGGGAGAAAAAGTGATACCTCTTTCTTACAGGAGGCTTACATATGATGAAGCTTTCACTGATCACACATTCGACTCAAGTTTGAGACCGCTGTCACAGTTTAATCTCTTGTCATTGTTGCTCACGGAGTCTTGTTGAATTTCAATTGACATTACTATGAACAATGATATTGCACAGAATTACATCACAAAATATATAAAAAAGAATCAACTATTTGTGATGGTAAGGCGAAAATTTTAATTCACGTTTCTGAGAGGCTAATCGCTTACTTCTGCAAAGGTGTCTGTGTCGTGCCTTGGCAGGCGCTGTGCCAAATTAACAATTGGCAATTCCTGAAGTCTATGACAGTAATCCAATTACAGAATCATGTGTTACCTCCAGACCTGAGGCATTAGGTAGGCCCATTGTTACTCTTGGACAGGCGCATGAAATGACTTTTACTGGAGGTCGTATTTGTGTTCATTAAAGTTTAAAAAAAAAGGTATACCACCAAAGTTTGAGAGGGAGACACATGTTTTAGTACAATTCTGCACAAGACAGGATAAAAAGTCTCATAAGATCAGGAAGTGCTTTTCTATAGGGACCACATTTACATAAGGCTTTTAAGCTTCTCTGCATCAGCTGCCTAATTAAATGACATTGTCCAGTATGAGTCTCTGAGTCTTTACGACAACACAACAAACAAAAATTCCACAGCCACAAAAAAAAAAAAAAATGGAACAGAGAGCCCCCGAGGCGAAGTATCCAACTTCAAAGTCTTTTTCTTTTAATTAATTCAGGATCCTTCTCTATGCACAAGAGAAACAACGACACAGTGAGAGAAACAAGAAATGAAAGCAAGAAAGAAAAAAGGGCGAGATTAAACTTAAGACAGAGCAATAGAATAGCCAGGCTCACTTTACAGCTGTTGTTAACAAGAGGCTTTTCAGAGTCTGGACGTGTCAGTAACACAAGCCTTCTGGGAAACAGGGTTTTTTTGTCTGAGGATAATATTCCATAGGGCAGAACTCCTGAGAAATGTAGCTTGGGTATAACAAACTGGGAATTACGCTTGTCTCATAAACCACTGGCTGGAGCCAAATTAATGAGACCAACAGGGATGCCAAAAACTAGCTTAAATCTTTACACTTTGTCTGTTTCTCCCTAGAAAAGCTGTATGTTCGTGCAATTCAGCTTTGACTGTTGTGCACCAAAGACAGAGTGTCCTCCTACTACCACTTCGACATTAAAACACAAATATGTAAATAACAATCACCTCACATTTTGAAGGGAATGTAAGGTATTAGCTTTGAGATGCTCTGAGATGCTTCAAATGTTTAAACTCTGAATGAACTCCCCTGACCTTCAAACTGTGAGCGTGAACATTCAATGAATTTTCAAACAGGGGCTGTGCAGCGGTGAATGGAAACCGACCGCTAGCTGATACTTGCTTTCAACTATAAATCTTGTAGGGGAATTTAAATAAAAAAATGACTGCGGGAAAAAAAAAAAACAGAGAAGGAAGAAGAGAAGGGTACGAAAGGACAAATGTAGTTCTGTAGTCAAGCAATCTCATACTCGGTTTATGAATTCCCAACTGCTTATTACGAGAAAAGAGCTGTTTTAAATGGACACAAATCCAACAGTAATTCAAGTTTTTAGCCACATGAGAGGATTAGCATGAAGACCATTCTCAGTGAAGGAATAATGAATTGTCAGTAAGACTGAACCGCAGAGAGAGGGACAGACACATTAAGGCACTGGATTTTTGTTTGGCTTTATCCCAAATGGGCCTGTATGTGCATTTAGCTTCCCAGTTATTTGTTTGGGTCAGGGACAGGATCAACACAGGACTACTAAAGAACCCCATAAAAAACAGACAGAGAGAAAAAAAAAAGAAAAGCAGTCACTGAAATATAAACTCCATGAAGAATAGCAAAATAACACACAACCATTCCCCAACCTTCTTAAAGTCTTTATTAAACAATTTCACATCAGATTATTGGCAGAGGATCCTCTGATATTTGAATGTAAAGAGATGGCTATTTAATGCTGTGGATTAGGTGGGCCTGGGCAGAGATGAAGTGGGGTTAGTAGAAAACAGTGATGTGGTTCAATAGGCTTAAAGGATCTTTTTCATTTTGGGTACAGAACAGAACACTGGATCCTTGTTGGAACAATGTTATTTTGTTTCATGGATTCATTCCGAGAAAGTGGAATAACACATGTACAAGGCGGTTTGATAGCCTTAAATAATCAATCAATACAATAGCATACGTGTTGTGTCTTTCTGAGTATATGTTACAAATGGAAAGAGGGAAACACACACAGACTCCAAAATATGGGATACGAAAAACTCCTTAAAACAATTAAAGCATTTGTAGTTTTCTGCCAAATATCAGAGCTGCAAATGTCACATCTGTTAACGTTAATTTCTACTTATCAATAAATCAGGAGCATCTAATAGGAACAAGAGAGCGTTTCTGTCTGCTTTTCTTTACACACCCATTAAAAAGACATCCCCTCTGGTATCTGTGGGTGTATTCTGCTGATTCCACCAAACCACCTAATTAACTGTCAATCTCTAAAGAACAACAGTAGCCGAGTACATTTAATCCAACACAGAGCACAGCAGCAACTAACACATCTTCAAACTTAGACATAACTCTCTCTCT